AGAACAGTTTTAACTGTACAGTTCTATTGTTTATTGTATAACAACCAGTCTAAATCAACATAATTTTATATTTAAAAAAAAAAAGTTTTTGGAGTAAGTACAGTATCGTGGCCTATAATTATTTATCTACATTAGCACAGAATTAATTAAAATGTCTCTTTTCACTTAACATAGTAACTTGATACATAAAAAAATACATTTTATTGTAACTTATGCATAATTCAAAGGCTGTAAATCACTTGCGTTTGAAAAAGTTACGTTACTTTTTTGTGTTACATTTTTTATTTTTTTAACATCGTATAGAGTTGAGATATGTTACCTAATTTTAATAAATTAAACATACGTAAAGCCAGGTAACGAGTTACGTGTGCGTAAAATATATCGCTTTTCTTTTGATAAAACAACAAAAAACGTTTTGTTTATTAATTTACTAGCTTTCGTCAGCGACTCCCTCCGCGTGGAATTTAAAAAAAAAAACTAAGTAGCCTATGTGTTCTTGCACACCATACTCTACATCTGTGCCAAATTTCATGAAGATCCGTTCAGCCTTTTAGGCTAACTCTAACAAACATCCATCCATCTACTATTGCATTTATAATATTAGTAAGACGTAAGATTATTTACACACTACGGTAAAGAATAAATTCTGTAAGAAAATGTAGACAGATTTCCTCGCGGCACTTTAGCGAAAATGCTTTAAAGAGCAAATAAAAACTCCAATTCCCCGGAAACGCAAAATAAAGATGCCATTCTCCACAGTATTTGAAATTTAATTTACAAATACGAATTCTCGAACTGGGTTTATAAACGTGATACCGTGTGCTTTATAGTTGAAAAACCTGTAGATAATATTAGTATCTCTGTCTTTTTACAAGAGATATTTGTTTGTATTTTTCCGGTGGAGATACACTAGAAGAAATTAACTTTGTATTTTTGACACCACCTCTGAATACGATAACACATCTGTTGTATTCAGAGGTAGCTCATCAGCCACATATCTTTAAATATGAAAACTTTGTTTATTTGATTGTAATGGAATAACTCAAAAACTACTGGGCCGATTCAAAAATTATTTCAATAATTCGGAATATCTCTCCTAATACTGACAGTGGTATAGCAGGCTTTAACATTTTTGCACGGATGTGGCCGGATGTCCATTTTCGTCCTCTCCTCCTTCGCACCCATTTCTTCCAAGCAAGGACTGTATTTTACAAACTATGACTACCTTTGAACTATTAATATTTTACTATCTATACTAACATTATATTATTCACCTTTTTGATCTAATTAGGATTAAAAAAAGCATTATAAAGAGAAATATATATATTTTAGAATTTTTGTATGTATTGAAATAACTCAAAAACTACTGGGACGATTTCAAAAATTCTTTCACCATTAAAAAGCTCACTGAAAATGTGAGTAACATAGGCTATGTTTTATATAATTTTTTAATTTCACGCGGACGGAACCACGAGCGAAAACTAGTATACTAATAATATTAAAACTAAAACTTATCTTTAGTCATAGCATATTACTTTTAAGCAAGCTAAAAAGCAAGCTCGCAATAAAATAAGTTGAATTTGTGCACTTAAGAGACATTTTACGTAACATTAGCCACCTAATGGTTAGATAAGTCAAGGGATACGGGACAGAATGTAAACGTGTCATAAGACGTGTGGAGCGTGCTTAGAATATCAATACAAATAAGATAGCTTTTATTATTAAAAATACATATTATTTTCTACTGCCTTATATCTATACTAATATTAAAAACAGGAACGTTTTTTTTTTAAAATAAAATAACTCAAAAACTTCTTGGCCGATTTTATTCTTACGCCATTAAAAAGCTACATCAGTGAGTAATATAGGCATATATTTTAATGACACGGGGACGAAATCGCGAGCAACAACTAGTTTATTAATATGACATTTGTAATTTCTATCAGTACACACTCGCGCATTGGTGGAAATTAGTACATAACCAGAGGTTTTATAATCATTTTGACCAATTTTATTCCAGGAGGGATACAAAGTTTTCGCTCCACGTATTTATACAAATATTTTAAATAGTTAATACAACGATATCGAAGTATTTACGGAATCCATACAACTGCCGTCCTAGATATGATTAACAAACTAATTCCGTCAATGGCAAAACAATGTACAATATAATCACAAAACCTATTCCGTTAAAAGCGAAAACATGTCTACATTTATACCGCTTTCTTCGCAGGAATAAAAGTTTTATTTCCCTTGTGGTATAACAAAGGATTCTAATGTTAAATAACGTTTGTTTTTCAGTATATCTGTACTTCTATAATAAAGCGTAAACACACACTACTTTGTGGCGTAGGATTTCAGCAATCACAGCATGTTTATGAATAATAATTTATTTAATTGAAAGCACTACACTTACGACACGCTTTAGGTTATTTATTTTTACGCCATTAAACTTGGGGATAAATAATTTGGAATAAACCTTCACGTGGGAAAGGGGCCAGAAACTACAAGCTGCCAACATTAAGGAAGGAAGGTTGCCATGGTTTGTCAAGTCATGTCATTTTGACAATTGCAATTGATAATTTTACACATGTAAATAATAAAATAAAAATTTTATAATTGTATGCGGATGAAGTCGCACGGGAACAGCTAGTCCGTTATAAGCCTAGCCTTCAAACTGTAGAATAGTTCACATCTTTCGGTGCTCACAATTGTATAAAGATGAAAATTATTTTATCATTAGAAATCGACATTATCACTAAGTAATAGATTTGTTTTATTCCAAAAGGAAGCAGACATAAGAAAAAAGCTAGTTTTCAATTTCATTTAAAATAATACAATTTAATATAAAAACCGTGCTTACAAAAGTAATAAATATGAAATTTAAATCTCATGACTTTAATAAAATAGGGGAAAATGTCGCAAATTTAATACGTTAATTATGATTGAAAAATCCCTAATCGCATCTCAAGGTAATAGAGTCGAATCACAAAGAAAGTTAATTATGATTTGAGAACCACAGAGATTTAACGTCAAAGTCTAAAAATGTAAGAATTCGGAATATCTCTCCTAGAGTCAGTAGAAAGTGGTAAAGCAGACTTTAATCTCTTCGCACAAATGTGACCGGTTGCCCATGTTAGCCCTCTCCCCCTTTCTACCCATTTCTCTTAAGGCAAGGACGGTATTTCACAACCTTAGAACTATTAATATTTTCTTACTAATATTAACAGAGGAAAGATTTATTTTTTTTGGATTCTTGTATGTATTGAACTCCTTGGCCGATTGCAAAACGTCTTTCACTGTTAAAAAGCTACGTTATCACTGAGTAACTTGGGGTATATATTTTTATCTTAGGGGGACGAAGTCAACATCTTGTTACAAAACAATGATAACCTTTTACAAAAACATGTTATTTATAAACAAATAACATGAGAGTGAACAGTTTTATATAATAATTATGTAATCACACGCCCTTGAGTAAGAGATAAAATATCCGTCGGTCGGTGTTCAAACACGCTATATTATCTAATGGTAAAATTCCATTTTTTCACGTCTTTGTAGATCGTATGGCGATAATCCAAGAGCCGAAATAACCGCTGGTATGAAGCTATGGATCACGTGAGCTATCTTGACTTCATGTTGTGCAAAACTATTACGTTTGAAAATCGAAGCACGTGTATTATTGTAATTCATATTTAAACAACTTTTATAGACAATTCATATTTTAAATACCTGTATTTATATATAAAAAAAAATCAGTAAAAAGCAGTATCTTTCAAAGCAGTTGATCGCGACTGTCCACGTGAAACTAAAAAATGGTAAAAAAACAGCCTAGTAACATAACTCACTAATAACGTAGCTTTCTAACGATAAAAGACTTTTTTAAATCGGTCCAGTTGTTTTTGGGTTATTTCAACTATTATTTTAATACATGCAAATATTTCCTCTTTATAACATTAGTATATTTTAAATTCTCTTAAAAATAATTGTAAAAATGTACAAGTGTACTGAAAATTGTAATCAATAGTATATCAACGATAGTGAAATGTCGGCTATTGAAATTCCATTTGATTGAATAGACAACTTCATAGTGAATACCTTCACGGATATATTAAAGGGACAGACGTTCCTGTTATTTTATTCCTTTATCCGACATCCTCGACCCTCCCTTGACCTTATTTGAACGCTATGAAATAATTATAATGTAGGAATTGTGTAGCTTGAATCCACATTTATAAAGAGACCGTTGCATTCGTATATGGGTTCGAAATAAGCGTATTATTCCTGGATTTATATCCAACTTAAAATTTATAATTTCTACTTAGTCATCGTTTAGGTAATCAATTTTATAATTACGTTAACACAAAGAAAACTTGCATGTGAATATTTTTCATTGTAGATTTTAATAGATACAAAAATTTACTATTTGGAACTACTAGTGCCATCTAGTGGATAATTTCATAATTACGTACAACTTGCAGCACGTATGTTAGTACAGTGGCGCCATCTATTGCACTGTATACATTTTTAAGAGTAAGGTCAATGTTTTAAATTAACTGCATTTTTAAAAACAAATCAAAATCAATAAGTAACATTAGTAAGACATACAAATCACGAATTATATATTGCAATTGGTAACAATATGGCTTGCCTTTATGACCTCTACAAGACCTTTAAAAACAAATTACATGTAACTGTAAATGTTAGGGTAAAATTAGCAGAAATCACTCACTATAACTGCTATTAAATCAGTTAGGTACAAAATTTATCTAGATAATTTAGGCAATTAACATAACCGTTACAACGTAATTAACTTAAATACTCAGGGCACTAATCCCTCCAGAATGGCGCACTATTCCATTATGTTTGAATGACATTGACAGCTGTCATAGGAACGGGATGTGAATGCCAATAATCTAGTGTTGCATCAAACCAGCATTAGCAATCCAGTGCTAATTTTTTTCTTAACAGTAAAACAATAGGATACAATAAAAACTTACGAGATTTGAACTGCTGAGCCAGATTTGCAGTGTCTGCTGCATGATGATATTCATACAAGGAACGACCGACCAATTCGTCCGGTTCGAATCCCAGAGTATTCATTAATCTGCAACAAACAATATTCTTAAGAAACTTGGTAATTGTTATATGAAAAAGTCAGGATTTTATACACATTGACAAATCTTTAATGTGATAGATCTACGTAACTTAGTTAAAGGAAATTTATTAAAAACAAAATGTTTTAATTTTTGCTTATGAGTTAACTTAGCAGACATTTTGTATAAAGAAAGATGACGATAAGAAAACAAGATAGACAGATTGGAATATCATTGCAGCGATAATATATAATTTTCATAGTTTTACAGACAAAATAGCGTATCAACAAACCCGCAAACAATGCACACTGCATATTCATTTATTGCTTTGTATGCATTTATGAAAAGAAAATTGAACAATGTAAGTCCAATTCAGTGACTAGTTGGAGATTAAAGCATTTTGATAATTTTAAAAATGATAAAGGCTCTGTTTTTAAAAGCGTATGTTCCAAAGGTCATTCTCCAATGTGACCTATACTTTCCATGGATTAGGTTATGTTTACCGGTTTCAATATGGTTAACCTTGAATGACCTATCAGTACTCCGGCTTTTCACTTTGTTTATAACAATTATTATAAACTTTCGAAGTATTAATAATAGCAAATCTATGAATTTATACGATTAACTGGCTGATATTAAGTACCTGTTCCATCCCTCCTTTCAAAATACGCGCCAATCATCCAAAAATCCGAAACATTCCTTGTAACAACAAAACACTTTCACAATCATTTCTCACACTAATAACCACTTTCAACAGCTTTTATTCACTAAAACATTAAAAACACTCGAACTTTATCGCGAACTGAGTTGTGGGGACGCGAAATCACATCATGTTTAACCTACAAAATACATTTGAAGGTGATATTTTTGTTGATATAACACAACTACAGCCTGTGAGCCATTCGAAAGGTCGTAACACACTATTTAAAATGACACCTAAATTTTGCCTCTTTATACACTTAAAGAATTGTTTAAAGCGCCATCTTTTGGCAGAATACTACAAAAACATACCTATTTCAAGATAAATTAAATGTTGTAACATGTCATTTTATAAAAAATTATTTCCTAACTTAAAAAGTAAATATTTATAGGACGTCTAACATTTCCCTAGAAAATATGTTTTCATGAAAACCTGTAGTAGTAATAAGTGTAAAAACAGACGAATTTATATAACAAAAGATAGTAACTAACTTACCCTTCATCGGTATACGAGAACTTCATATCCAAGCTGTGTTTGGACAAAAACGTGGTGGAGTCCAGAGGGATCTCGATATTGGCTGGGTGCGGGATGGGTCTGCCCACAGCCACTAAAGCACCGTTCTTGCTGTGCTTATCTTCAGAGTCCTTCTTATCTACTCCAGGTTTTTGTTCAGAATCCTTATCGTCTTTAGACGGAGACAGCATGTGACCGGTGAGATGGATGACCTGGCGAATAGAATAAATTAGTTAGTGCTATTTTAAGTGCTGAGGCGCGATTTCTATTGCGTCCCCTTTTTTTACTATATGAAAAGCGGAAGGTCTGGCGGTATGAAGATTTAACAATACTTTTGTATTTTGTCTTATCTATCGTTTTCTATGCCTTGTAGGTTTTCCATATTTTCTGTATGTCATAATAGCGCTCTCCAACGTACTAGTTTTTTTTTTAAATATAATACAGTGAATTGAAAAGGTTAATATTCTGCAATAGATTAAAAATGATATAATGTGAACATATGAAATATATGAAGTTATGTGTTACAAACTCGACCGACAAGTTCGCTCTCATAGAAAAAACATAGCGGCATGCAATGTGTTAAGTTTTATTAATTAAAAAGCTTTCTGACACTTCGAAAAATATTGAACATGCCATTCGAAATAATTTCTAATTGCCGAGTTTTATATAATAACATTGTACTGTACTTTTTCGTGTAAAAATCTACTAAAACATTAAAACATTTTACCCATTAATTTCGGTAATTATTTAATTTGGTTTACAATAATTAAGGAACATGTCAGAAACGATTAACAAGCCACAGAGTCAATATTAACATAACTTGTGTTTATTTGTGGTTGTTATTATAATTTGGAAGTGTAATTAACTTTAATTTTTTTATTATTTATAATAGTTTATTTACCTAGACAAAGAATATACAGATTAGTTTTATCATTGCTTAATTTTTATAAGATTTTGTACTGTACATTGACAAAATACTTTACACAGAAAAAAAAACTTTAGGCGTTAAACTTTGACGTGTATATGAGATAATGTAATATGAAATTAGACTTAAATTGATTTGACTAGTGTCAAGAAATAAACAAAAGTAGATAAGAGTACAAATAGCGACCAATACTAAAATTTAAACTATTATTTGACAGCGACTTCGTCCACGCGGAATTAAAAACAAAAGTTAGTAAAAGCTTTTCTTCCAGATTATGTTCTAATGCCATCGAGATTCGTTCCGATTTTGACATTTGTAGTAAAAAACATCCATCCAAAAGTTTCGCATTTTCTTATTAATAAGTAAGGTTAATTTAATAACTTTTTTCTTATATTAAGTACTTTCGTTTCTTGAATTTGATAACAGTATGGGTTAAAATTTTAAGTTGAAATTGAAGATATGTTTTGTTGATCACAGAATAATTTACATAAAGTGTAATTCAATTTACGGGGAAATTACAATATCCTTACCATATTACACAAATTCACTAAAATCAATACATATATTTAGTCATACTGAATACGGTTTTCCCCAAAGAAAACTCTTGTGAAATACAAAAATACTCAAATATTATTTGGTCTTAGAAACAAACGTCATTAAGACAATATTAGTATATAAGGTTCTAGGTAATACAAAACGTTCAAGTAGAAATGGCGTTCGTCAACACTAACGCAATTTCTTGAAATATAAGGGTCTTTACCTTTTACCGTAACTCTAGGTAACTGATTTCATATATTTGCAAATATTGCACATTGAAATGTTACGTTAGATATTACAAATTGTACAGGATATCGATTACTCAGATATTTATAAATAACTTAGCTTTGAAAACATATTATTTCCACAATATATTTAATTCAGACCTGGTTGAAATAACGTCAACAGAACAGACATTATTCTAATGTCACAATCTTACTAATATTATAAATGCGAGAGTTTAGATGAATGGATGGATGTTTTTTAGAGTTAGTAGCCTTAACTGCTGATGGGATCTCGTGAAATCGCATAGATGTAGAGGATTTCAAGAACACATAGGCTACTTATTTTTTTTTATTTCACGTGGCTGAAGTCGCTCTCAAAAGCTAGATATTTAATTATTTTGTCTATAAACGATATACAAAATTTTCACGCTTTGAACACATAACTAGGGATCTGCCCAGCTTAGCCTGGCTAAGAATGTCATATCTTTCCTGACATCCCACCCTTCCCTTAGATGTACAATATAGCCTCTCTTACTCAGCGATGAAAGCTTTTTAATAGCGAAAAAAAAATTCGGTTGATTCAAAAAACCAACAATCCAATAATTCTATATACCAGTATAGAATACTGTTGATGACATGATGGAAAGCGTGGCAGAACGTAAATAACATGTACAGAAAACTTAAGGCACGGCTAGTATGTCGCGGAAGAAAGCGCAAGCGTTCCCGTGACCCAGCCACTGGCGGACAGAAGGAACACCGCTGGGTTTTAGTGGGTATTCCGGCCATTTTTCATCTGGGCGGCGAGTCCCACATACCCCCCCTGGCAACGGAGGAGATGCGTAAAGGCATTTTCCCAGCGAGAAAAAAAAACGGCCATTATGTAGTATACACAGTAATGATTCTTTGTACCTTATAGGATGCAGACTTGAGATGCACGCTCCTGCCCTTGCTGGTTAATGTGCACTTAAGGCGCAGCAGCATGTCCCGTCGGCCGGCCCCGCTGCGCAGCGCCTCGCGCATCTCCTCGTGGTCACACGGATGGCTTAACTCGAACACACTCTGACCCATTATTTCCATCTGGAATAGACAGAGATGCAAGATATATATTTATCAAAGTAATTTTTTATGCTTGCTATGTATTTCATTCAAGGCTTAAAAAGAAAGTGTCCAGCAACGGTTTTACTGATTATAAAAATAACCTTGAAATGTAAATTGTTTGCGCTCTACAACCTTAGTGTTGTCGGATGTTATATAATTTATTAAAAAAACAACGGAAAAACTTGTCAACGGAAACCTTTATGAACTACAAATTGTAAATTTATGTTTAATGCGTATAAATAAGTTACATTTTTTGTTAATATTATATTTATTAAGAGAGTATGTTAAGGAGGAGTTAGTGAGATAAATTAACCCTAAAGTACTTAAGTAACCGTGTATGAGTTACTTAACCTAAGATTAGATTCTAACTGTAGTTTGAGCTGATGAACGATGATATTGATATATTCATACGTACACGAGCGTACATCTTTGACTAAACTATCGCAAAACTGTAGTGCGATTGTCGATTGTTTCGCAGCCAATTCAACTGTTTAGTTGCACAACTAAAAATTGAGTAGTGTGCGCACAGTATAAGCTCATAGAAATCAAAGCGTGACTAAACAGTTGTGCGATAGTTTAGTCAATCGAACTTATTTCAATAATTTTAAAATTGGAAAACTAATTTTATATCGACACCTGTTAAACGTAAAACATTGTTGAACGTTTCAGATGGTTTTGTAACAGCTTGTTTACAAAACATTTCGGTTCAGTTTATTTTGGTTGCATCCTAATTCTGTATTTTCTATACGTTAGAAAATATACATGTTATGCGCTTTGCAAGACTAATATAATATACCAGGAAAGAAGAGTAACCAATTAAATAAGTAGAAGAAGATCTGAACCATCCTTTTCTAATAAGAATAGGATTTGAAGAGGAAGGAGTAGGGGACATACCATCTGTACGTCCTCTATTTATTTGAAGGTCAGTGGTTTCTTCGCTCTTTTAGCGTAACTCGTTCGTTTGCCATTTTAAACTAAAAATAAATATTGTTATGCCTGTTGTTGTTGATTAATTAGTTATCTCGTTTATTTACTGTTTTTCGCATATATCTTCTGTTTTTTAAAAGGATCGTGAGTCCCACCCCCACGTATATTTGTATTTTTGAATACGTAATCTTATCGGATTTTCTACAATCCGATAATTTGTACAAAAAATGATACATTCTGCATAATCATTACGTTGAATGTCAGAAATCAGTCAAAGATACATTTTATCAATTGTACATTGGAATATTTTTTTGAAGAACATTTTGTAACGTTATTTGCAAATTTAAAACACGTAGCGACAATTTATAGATAAATGTTAGTAAGGTTATTTACCACCTGTTTTTGTATATCTTACTAATATTATAAATGTGAAAGTTTACATGGATGTTTGTTAGAGTTTGTAGCCTAAACTGCTGAACGGATCTCGATGAAATTTGGAATAGATGCAGAACATAGTCTGGAAGAACAATAGGCTACTTACTTTTGTTTCTTTTAACTCAAGATGTCGACAGACGGAGTCGCAGAAAAAAAATATTCGTATGTTTTTTTAAATTGTAAGTGATATCAAAGTTTAATTGGTAAATTTGTTTGTTACTCGAGTGCGTAATGCCGATTTCTTTTATTTAATCTACACGTAAAGAACTTCTTTGATGCTTATGATTTTGAGTACACCAAAATTAGTAACATTTGGGTGACCGGATCTAAACTAAACTCGATGACTAGTCTCATCCGACCGCAATGATGGAGCTAGCAAAGTTCGTTATTAGCGGATTACGTGGAGGGCAATTAAATAATGTTTAAAATAATAAAAAAAAAACTTTTTTAATTTCCTCTTGGGCAGGGGACTGGTGTCCAAACTAGGGTCGCGCCCTGTGTGATGGATCACTGAGTTTATATCAGCGTTCAATCTTACCTGTGATACTCCAAGATGTTCAGCAATGTTCTCGCTGCAGTAGACGATGTCTCCCTGTTGCGACAGCACCAGAACAAAGCCGTCAAGCGCCTGCATGTATGATAACTCCGACTGGATTTCTTCTAGACCTTTCGGGCTTTGCAGCTTTGGCGGCTCCGTGTTGCCTTCTGGCACTGAAAATTATAAAATGTTTGGTCAATATCTTTTAATTTACTTATTAATTCTACATTAGATTGCTAATTTATTCTGTATTATTAAAAAAAAATATTAAAAATTAAAATCTGGCAACTTTGTTGAACCAATAATAGAATACATCTTGAATAAAAATGACGTCATTTCGTAAGACTACGTGTCAATATTATTCTAGGGAAATACATATATGCATACATTAATGGGAAAAATCGAATAGAAAAAGGAAAAAAGATATACACGTGTAAATAATTAGTGAACAATTGTAACACTAGTATAAAAATAAATTTACACAAAATAAGTACGAAATTAAATATTTTTAAAATAAGTTAGTTCATTGAAAAATCCACAAAAATCGAACTGATAAACTTTACGAATACTTTCTTTTTGACCGACTTCCCAAAAGAAGGAGGTATTCAATTCGACCGTATGTTTTTTTTTTTTTTTTTTTTTTTTTTTTTTTT